AAATTAATATAAATACTTATTCGTTATCATATTTTTCTAATTTATGAAAATTTACTATGGTTATAATAGATTAGAATGATTTTGAAAGAAATATTGGTTTCAGAACTTTCCAAAGAAACAATTCGAAATTATGATACACATATTATGTTGTTGTATGGAATTACCACTTTCCTACTTGATGAATTTACTGCTCCATTACTGTTAGTATCACTTTAAAGATATTATTTTGTTATGTTTATTAATATTTCGGATTAAGACTTGTACAACTAAAGCGTTCACTCTTTATTTAAGTCCCAACAAGAATATCATTAAAGAATGTTTTCATGTAATACTGGATCAGTTATATTGCAATCATTTACAAGTAGTAACAGCCGCTGCAGATTGTTTAATGGCCGTTGCTCAAAACTCTTCGTTATGGCGTGAGGAAAATGAGGCAAGTTATTTTATTAAGTTATTTTCTTAAATATTTTCTTATGATCATATATTTTAACACATAACTCAAATCTAGATCTATTTAATTGTTCTTCATGATCTTTTTGGTAATTTAATTGGTGCGTTGCATGAGCATTTAAATATACAAAAATCATTGTTACAAAGGAATGGAAGAGGTAAAAATATAGATTGTATAATATATATATTATTATTATTAAATTTGAATTTTCCTCTGATTCACTTCAAAGTTATCAATTTCAAACCCTTTTTACCAAATAGGGTTTATTATAGCGAAATTATTTTATTGTCTCCTCGAATGGATAATGATCATACCGCCTAATATATTTACTGATACTGAATTATGTTCATTAGTTCTTGAAGTGATTGATATGGCTTTTGATACATATGGAGTAAGAACTTATTGATAATATATATATATATACACACTTTTCTATTTAGTTATTAAATATTATTGAAAAAATTTTATCTGTTATATAGATAGAATCGCCAAAATTTTTTAAAAAATTGATTGTGCCTTCACACAAAAATAAAATAAAAAAACCTCAAAATGACACCCATATTAAATTTAAAAAAGCAGAACGCAGGACATCATCAAGTAATAATTACAATAATGAAGTTAATTCTCATGTAATCGGGGCTGAAAATAATGTTGAAGATGTTAATTTTGTCAAGGTGATTAATTTCTCTCTGGGGAAAAATTTTTTTTTTGGTTAACCCATTATATATATGTATATGGTATTAATAAATTAATATTTAATACATAAATAGGATGCTGCAGAATTTGTTTTATTGCACTTGACGCATCATTTTGGTAATTTTGCTCCAATCCATGGTCCAGCAATGATGAATAGGTAGATATTTTTGCTTCGAACATAAATCTAGTTTGATTATATTTAAATTTAATGACCTAACATAAATGACCCCAAACCTTAGTACTTTTATTGGACCAGTTGGTAACGATACTAAAGAAGAGGAAGTGACGGAACATTACCAATATTTTTCATTTAATGATACTACCATAATTACATTGATTGAAATACCCGGAGAAGATGTTTCTAGTAATAAGCTGATAAAATGAAAAATATTTAGCCATTTTAAAAATTCTATTAGTAATCCTTATATATTTTTTATATTTTCTTGTTTAGTATCACGTATTGTTATAAGAGATTTTTCTGGTAGATATTCCTGGGATTCCAAGTTATTTTATAAGGCATTTTGTAATAATGACTATAAATCAGATCACGAATCAAATTGCCTCAAATACGTTAGGATGTCAGATCATTTAGAATTTAGACCTAATATTAAGATTGATGCATTAGAATCAAAAAGTATGATGTAAGTTAATAATTCAATTAAATTTATAACGAAAATATCACTGTCATAAAGCTTACCTATTTAATTTTTATAAAAAATAATTAGTGATAATAATTCAAAAGATAAACCAAAGTTTATAAATAAAACAATAAATTCTTTCAAAGAAAAGAATACTTTACCTGTTTATAATAATGAAGATGATGTTAATATGCTTGACTGTTTATTACAATAGTAAGGATTTTTTATTTTTGATTACTATTTTTTTATTTATAAATTTTTATTAACCCAAATAAATATAATTTTGGGAAAAGCGTTGGTGAACAAGTTCCACATTTACCAACAATAGAAAAAACTAATGGAGAGTCACAAAAATTACCATCAGAAACTGAAAGAAAAAAAATGATTAAAATAGAAGATCAACTTAATAGGCATATCCATGAAGAATCACTATATGGAAATGCCACTGATTCTCAAGCGTAAGCGATTTTTAATTATTTATTAAATATTTCATTTGATTTTTTGAAAATTGCGTATTTTTTTTCTGATAATAATAATATTATAAAAAAAAATTTTTTTTGGGGGAAAAAGTCGATTATGGTATGAAAATGTAACAGCATTAAGAAACAGTATTTTCCAACAGTACGAAAATAACAAAATTATTAAAAGACTATCTAGGAATCCATTGTACAAAAGATCTACTTCATATCTTAGCCTTGGAGCCGATTTTTCATTATCTAAATCTTTTCTTCCAGTTTTACCTAATTATGCTGAAAAACCATTGGAGCCATATCAACAATCACGTTTGTTTTTAAGTCATTTTGGATGGTTAAGTCCGGAGGCTCTAAAAGAAGGCACCATTTCTTTATTAAATAAAGCGCCTGGATTATTTAGAGATATGAGGCTGTTAGATAAAAAACATCCTCGTGAAGTCATAAAAGTCGCACTTTTGTATGTTGGGCCTGGTCAAGAGGATGAGCAAAGTATATTGCGTAATACGAAAGGTAGCTTAAATTATGATGATTTTGTATCTAGTCTTGGTTGGGAAATTGATCTTGCAACACATCCCGGATATCTTGGAGGCTTAGAAAGAAATTCAACAAATGGAACTACCTCAATTTATTATTGCACATCAACAATAGAATTAATTTTTCATGACGTTACAAAAATGCCAACTGACCCAAATGATTTTAAACAGCTTAAAAAGGTAATATTTCAAGTTTTATTATTATTGTTGTTATTATTATTATTATTATTATTTAATCAATCAATTATATATATGCATGCAGAAAAGACACATAGGAAATGATCATGTTCATATAATTTTTAATGAACACAACAGAGATTATAGAAAATCAACTATAGGTGGAGATTTTGGTAATGCGCAAATTATTGTCAACCCACTGTCTAACGGACTATTTAGCGTGGAGATCAATCGTGATCACAAAATACCTTCTTTTGGGCCACTTCTAAATGGAATGGTAATATCACAAAATGTTCTAGGTCCTTTAGTTCGAATGACTGCTATTCAAGCATTTCGTAATAGTTTACATCATACAAATAGTACAAATACAACAATGTACCAACATCCTTTTACAGAAAGAGCATTAGATATTAGCATAATAATGAATAAACATAAGAACACGAAATGTAATTCTTATGAGACATTCATGTCAAAAATTTTTGTCACTGATGATTCATAGAAATAACAATTTTGACATTTTTTCATTTCTCATACATAATAATTTTAATTAACTATTCATTTTAAAATCATTCATCATATATTCATCATTTTGTCACCTTTGTTTAAATTCATTAATAGCGACTTAATTATAAAAATATTTATTTATTTATATCTTTAATAATAATCTAATTAATACAGTTTTTGTAAGAAATTGATATAAAGTGGTGTGACGGTTTTTGTCTGAATGATTATCATTATTATTTTTTATTCCCCCAAGCCTAATACTAAGCTACTCTCAGCACATGCGGGACAGATATAGATGTTAACAGTTCACAAGACATTTCCCACAGATCTATAAGGGGTTGTAAATTTTGGATGATCTGCATCATAGTAAAATTCGAATTTACTATATATTACAGTAAAATTTTATAATCGAATGTCTTCACACCCTCGTTTGATACCCTTGCTGTGTAGCAACCACCACCAAATTTGATATGACTTCTTTATCATATGTTAAGACTTCACTTGTTGGTTACAACTGAGATCTCGTTGTTTGTTAACTAAAAATTACATACTATCTGGCTGTCCCTAGAAGAAAGAAAAAAAAATCAAAGTAAACAGGTAACTTTGAGAATATACCCAAACTTGTAACCTTCAGAACTGGCAACACCACAAAACAACAAGAAGCTGATTGCAGTGTATAGGAAGATGTGAGAACAGACAAATATGTAAGTGTTCTTGTAGAATTAGGTATGGTTGTTGTGTACAACTTCCGATGCCTACAAATATTTGTCCCTGATGTGTCCAGCCTTTGAAATAAAATATTCGTAAGTGATTATGAATGAAATTTAGCTTGTAGCAACTATCTGCTTACCCCATGACTGGATTCCGAAAACAAACATCTTGTGTAAATCCTCACCTGGAGCATTTGTATTTGAATTGAAGAATGTGTGTAGGATGCCCCCCATTGTTATGAACAGGTCAATAGAGCCCACAAAATTTTTTTCAAATGAGCCTCCAGAAGACCACCACTCCGAAGTAATGATGTTAGCCGGCTAATAATCTGCATACATAAATTCTAAATTTGGTAATATATTTCTGTGTTACCTTCTTGTTATAGAAATAAAATTACCAATTTAGGTAGTAAAAGCTTAGCCAGCTAAGGATTTTAAACTGCTAACATCACTACTCCGAAGACCTGTTATTGCTTCCAATTTGTTGATACTATATTTTAGCATCCCTTAAAAGTCACATTTTTGCCCAACCCAGGCACAAAGTGTAATTGAACAACCTTCATTGCATCATTGAGCTGAAGCCCAAGAGCAGATCTCTCTACTAAGGAAATACATGTATGTATATATAGGGGGTTAGTAAACAAAAAACCATTGCCTGTCATAATTTTTTATAAACAAGTTATCAAAGGCAGACTCTGAAATTGGCAGATCAACATTGGCCAAGTTCTCTGCACTGTGTAACAATAGACAAAGAGAAATTAAAACTGTAAGAATTTATCTCAAGACAAATGTCCATATTGCATTTCACATTTCACTTGCTATGTCAGAACCACTCTCTTGATTTCAATCATATAGGTTTTATCTTGTTCATTGAGTGTGATCATGGCTTTGCTTCTATTTCCTGTGGAATAATCCATCATGATATTTTCATTCTTTTCATTATTCTTTATAATCTGAAATGAATGAATAACATTAGCAAATCCTAAATTTAATAGAACATTGATCACCAATAATTACCTGTTCAACTTTGTCAAAAAACAAACATATAATGTCAGGTATATCTTCTTTAATGATTTCTATTTCATTCTCAAAGTTTTTCAACATCTCAGTCCAATCTTCTGTAGAGAAGAGTTGCTTTGTTTCTGGGTGGGATCTATGAGGTCAAGGATTCCCCAATAGACAGGGCTATAAAATGAAAAAAAAAGTAATTGTCACAAATTTCCATGCAATATAAACATCATTAAAGAATGCAATCACCAGTGAAAAGACTCACTCAATACATTTGTGATTCAGGAATTTGACATCTATAGGCAGTTAATGTCTGACTAGGTTTATATTCATGGATACCATAAGGAGATCACAGGGTCACACACCATTAAAATCAAGGATTTTTTGCTGTTTTAATAGTGCATAACCCCCTTAACAGTATTCATGGTATTCATGAATACAAACCCTATGTCTGACCCATGTCAGTTCCACTTGATAAAATCCAGTTTCTGGTCTGACATATAGTGTATGGTTCACACCTTTCAACAAACCTCAAGTCTTCATCTGGGATGAAGGTATCAGCCAGCATTTTCTTACTTGTTGTAGTCATAGAAAGGCTGTCATTGTCCTTCATAATCTTCCAAGTAAATATCCTCCCCCTTGCTGTTTGCATCTTCATTTTGCAATTGAGTGAGATGAATGGAACTCAAATACTCCTTTTCTTTACATGTATGTCTGTCTAACATCTGTCTGTAGGATACTTCACCTTTATTTTTCCAAAAGTTCATTACTTCAGAAGAGTTCACATTCATCTGCAGTAGAAAGCAATTACTCAATAGTTTGCAATTTTTAGTTCACTCCAACCTCACCTCCTTACATACTGAGAATTCCCTGATCTCAATCTGGGCTTTGTTTCACAACTATTTGTTGATTGATTGCTCTTGGGAAAGTCTTGAGATGTAATTAAAGTAGATTGAATGAGCCTGTGGCTTTTCATCCAGCTTTAGATCTAACTTTTTATCAATTATATGAAGACAATTATATAATCCAATATTTTTAGAAATTGATTTCTGTTTCCAGTAAGAGACCATCAGAGATTTGATGAGGTCTTTGTGGTATTCCAAGGACATGACACTAATATGCTTTCCAATATAAATTTAGGTAAATGATTATAATATATATGTATGGGATGATTTGCTAGATATCATTTGTAGACCAGTCCCCAAGCATAAATAAAAAATTTTCTATTCAGAGTAATATCTACCTACATGAGGTAATTAATCGAATTTGGTTATAAATCATGCTTGCACAGCCTCATTAAAATGTTACACAACATTAATTGATTATGCAGATAGATTATCAAATTTTGAATTTTCTTCATGGATGATACACAGTGTATCTCGATTTCTTGATTTAGTGTAGAGTGTAGGTAACACAAATTTCACTATGATATTGTTGATAAAAAAAATTATGTAACACTCTCTGAGTTGTTAGTCTAATACATAAGTATGCCAAAACTAATTTTTGTGAGATGTTTGCTATTGCAAATCCTTTTTCAGAACCTATACAATTGTATTGTGATAAAAAAATTTGATGACTTGTTAAAAGGATCTTTTAAAAAAAATTTCTAAAGTCAAATTTAGTTTTCCCATCACTTATAAAACATATCAAATCTATAACAAATATAATAAATAGCCATAACACACAATAATAATTGTAATAATATTTCTTTGGGATAAATAAAAGACTAATAATTTGTTAAAATCTTGTCCATTTCTTTGTAATAAATATAAATACCAAAAGAAAATTGCCTGTTTTTAATCAAGGTAAGTGATATTAGTTTTAAAAATAGAATATTTTGAAAAAAACTATATAGATGAGTTGAGGAATGGTAGTAGAAGTCAATAACAAGATGGCAATATCTCCACCTACTCTACATATACTATTTGTTCTATATACTATTCTTTGTGGAAGTCATATCAAATTTTCTTTTATGTTAAACAAAAACATGGGGGCTTCCTGTAATTTTACTTGATATTTTGTGAAATAATTAATATAATTAATATGTTATTTTGTGAAAATAATTAATATAATTAACTAATATCATAATTTATTTATAAATAAGGAACATGAGAAAATATGCAATTCATTCTCTCTATAATGAACCTTCTGTCCCTATATGTGCCCTTTTTTCATTATAAATACTAAGATGTTTGTTATAGAGTGAACTGTAACTTGTTTATTTTATTTTTTTTGTTTGCTAAAGGATGTCATAGAAGTAAGGATACCAGCTGCAACTTTTGATGATGGTTGCTACCACCTTTGTGTCATATAAAAATGATTGCAACTGCTGGTTGCGACTGCCTTTATGACCCATTTTGTTTCCTTTTTTGGATTGCGACATGAAATACTACATAGAAGAAAAGGGCAACACAGGTAAAAAAAGGACAATTCGGAATAAAATCAGTGAAATATCAAGTACCTGATTTTTAGCTGATTTTCACCTATTTTAAGAATAGTGATGATTTTCTCATATCTGATTGTTATTGAATTTTGGTGCACATTGGCAACAATCAGTATCCAAAAGGTAGAAACTCAGTATCCAAAAATCAGTAAATTATCAGGCAAAAAAATGTATCATATCAGACACCCTGAACTTTAGCTGATCTTTTATACCAATTGCTGAATGATTATTCACTGATTTATGAAAAAGTGTTATACTGATTTTTATCAGATTTGCTAAATTTTGAAACTCATTCATTTGTTTTATTTTAAAATTCAGGCAGGTTGTTTTTTCTTACATTGGAAATTGAACCAACTCACCTCTGTATCCATCATTTGCTTCTTATCCATAACTTATTTATCCATAAGTCATTTTGATTGTTTATTATAACTTGCATCAATAATAATGACAAAGTATTCAGTGACCAATTAGAACAATTCAATAACAAACCAATTATTCACCCGATTTTGGCAACCAAATTTAACTAGTTAGCTTATTAAAAATATTGACAATTCAGAAAACCCTGATTTTTATCAATTCTAAAATTGTGAGAATCCATAATTTATTGTTTATGTTTGATCAATTTGACAAAAGTTGGGAGGATTACTGATATTTCTTTTTTTTATTTGTGTCTTTAACATTTTTGCGAATTGTGGCCAAAAATTAAATATTTGGGGCATATAGACAAAGTGAAATTATTATTTAATTATCAAATTTGGTGGGATTGGTAGTGATAATGGCAAAAAAATAAAAAAATTATTGACCACCTTTAAACAGATCATGTTACACTCCTTGTGTTTGATACTTCTTTACAATTATGAAACAAACCCTTCAAATTGATATAAATATTATAAAAAAAACCATTATCATCATTATTATCAATATAACCACAAACATACACTCAACAAAAAGGATTGTTTCCATAAACGAATTGTGAACTGTGATTGCACTATTCTTTGGCCTTTTGCTACCACATCTTCATTCCAAATTTTCTATTGTATTATATCCTTCAGGAAAAAACTTTAGTATCTATAAATATCAGTGCTGTCAATTTAACTGGTTCGGATCTTTTTTGACTGATTTGAACTTTTGAAACCATTAATGACCAGTTAATTAGTTAAATAACTTGCAGATATTAGGTCTCAAAGGCAAAATATATAAAAAAAATAGATTAATTCAAATAATGTATTTTCTTTATTATCTTTTTTATTGTCACATGTCAAAAGACTTATGTTAATATGCTAGGCCTTATTTTGAAATCATCTAGTAAACAAAGGTCTTATATCAAGAGTTCATGCCAGCAGAATTTTCTGGAGAAGTTCATGATTCCAAATCCAACTATGATGGTAGTTTTGGCTTGATTAAAAAACTATATATAAAGACAACTGTACATTGTGTGGATCATGATTCAGTCCAGCAGGATCAAATAAAACTCAATTCTATGAAGTAGGAAAAGGCTTTAGATACTTATATGCCAGACCTATTTTGGGAATTTATTTTAAAATTTAAATGATCTGCCAAAATATCAACATGTTAATCAGTCCTTAGATCCTTCTGATATGAACAGGGACGTTAGAAAGGGACAGGAGACAGGGATCAACTACATATATCCTTTTTAATTTTTTTTTTTATTTGATTATAAAATGAAAAAATTATTATTTTTTTGTATTGTTAGTTCTACTACTATGACGACCTACAGCAGTGTTAGCTTTAATAGTCCTGGGCCTAAAGAAAATATGGAAATTTTGTTGATAATATTAATAAATGAATGCATTATTACTATTACAGTAAGTCATTAATAATTTTTTTTTTTTTTTATCAGCTTTCATCTTCATTTTTACCTTCATTAAAATACTGATGATTTTTATCAGTGAAATATTCAATTACTAGAAAAAATACAACATTATTAATCAATTGATGACAAAACAACCAGCTTTTTTCATAAAAATCCATTTACAGTCTATCCCTGAATGAATCTTTTCATCAGGAATGTTTATATTATGATTATTTAATTTTCCATAAAAGTTTCTGTGGATATTTCAATGGAAGTAATTATTATTAGTTATTTTTTTTAAAAATTTAAAAATTATTTAAACAATACTAACTTGCTTGGCTATCAGGATAAATGGAATGACTATTAAAATCATTTAATTTATAAGCATCAATAGCTTATATCCTGATAGAGTGGTTGGATCATTGGATTTTAATACAGCTGTAAGGAAATCCTTTTTCCTTACGTCAAAATACTAATTGTTTTAATTATTATTAAAAATACAAGTTATCTTTATTAATTACGGAAAGCTTATCTTTTTATACAAAATGCATAATATAATATTACATTTAAATAAATAAATTATCATCAATCATAGTAATATCTTAGAACTTCCCGGAAAGCTGCAGCACTTAATTTGTAACTCATATACATAAGAAAATAATATAACTAATAATAATATAAGTAATATAAATGATAATATAAGTAATAATAAATAAGTAATATAACAATAATATAAGTAAAGTTGTAACGTTTCGTTTTAATTTAACGCGTTATAGTTACGCGAAATAAATTTCATATTACTGTGCCACATTACATATTCGTAATTAAGAACGAAAAAGAACTGTTACAACAGCTGCCCCCTCATTTAAGTCATCATACTTATAGACACCACTTTGATTGTCAAAGCTTCAAATTACTTCACTGTAGAAATGCTGTCCACTTGATGATGTGCTGTATACATGTGCTGTCAATGTATATTCTATAGTGATCTCATTTTCTTGATAACAAAGCTGAAAAGGGAAGTCTAATGTTCTGACGAGTTATAATCAGCACCATCTCTTTGGGTTATTTCAAATATCAAGGTATATGGCAAAGAAATTATGTATTCTTCGTAGAATATTTTTCTGCTAGTACAATGATGAAGGTTTGCACGATTATAAGGACAAGGTCAGTCTGGAAGTATATTGTTGATAAATTCATTCTTTTTTGCAAATAATGCAGAAACTTGTCCCATCATGTTTTGGTTATTCTTAAAAGAGAGCTATCAAAATCATTAATTCCATTTATTTGAAATAATGGTTTAATAGGTGTTGGTGCTACTTTGACATGTCCAGATTCGCAATCCAAAGCTGTGTCATAAGTTTTATTGATTCTTTTTCTTCTGAAATAATACTTTCAAACCAATAGGATAATGATCCAAACTCATTATCTTTTTGCCGTTTTTTTCTAGAACATGGCAATGAACAATTTCGCAGGCTTCATTGAAGGTAGATTTTGTATTTTTGGTTCCTAGAGTATTAACAGTATCTCAGATAGTAAAACTTATATATAATTTTTTTAATCCAGAATCATGTGTAATTGTTCTGACATTGGTTGACCACCATGGAATTGCATGAAGGTAGTTCACATACAGTAATTCCAAGAATGATGTAATATAACATGAGTTTCACCAATGTGAATACGATTGATATTTTTTGGAAAGTTCAATTACTTTTTGTTTTTCTTTTTTATGATTGCCAACATCTAAATTTTTATTATCATTAGATGATTTACTCTTTAAAATGGCCTCAGTAGTATATGGTGGTCTACAATCATTTACACCAGCACCTTTGGATTTCTTTCCTCTGGATGATTTGGTTGTTCCATATAATCCTGCAACTTTTTCCATGGTTCATTGTGACCATATTTCAAGGAATGTCCTTTACTTTTGTTTTCATAATCAACTTCAAAATCATTGGATTTTTTCAACATATGATAATTATTTCTTTACTATTGCCAACTTGCCATTTTTATTTACTCGAATTTCTAACTGTTTTTTAAAGTAATTTGAATTCAATCAAATGATTTTTTTTTTTTTAAAAAAAAATTTAAAAAGGATATATGTAGTCGATCCCTGTCCCATATGAATAGGGTTGCTATAATTTAAACGGATAGTAACAGTAATAGGATATTTTTATATTATTTTTCATGTATAATTCCATACATATTCCATACAAAATGCATGGAAACATTTTCTGAAAAAATTTTTATAGGACCATTAACATCTCACATAAATGATGTATCACAATCTATTTACATCCCATATTCTAATGTTGCGGTTGATGAAATGATCATTAGATTTTGTGGCAGGAGTGCACACACATTTAGAATGAAGAACAAACCTATTCCAGAAGGATATAAGGTTTTGGCCTTGCGTGATGCAGGTTATACTTACTCATTCATGTTCACTTCCAGGATTGAAAAAGATCATGAAATTGAACAAATTGAACATCTCAATAAGATGGGAAACCAAGTTTATCATCTAATCAAAAAGTTACCATCCAATCAAGCATTCAATATTTTTATGGATAATTATTTTTCAAGTATCAAATTATTTAAATTTTTACATGAAAAAGGAATTGGTGCATGTGAAACTGTTCATACCAATTCACCAGGATTCCCACCAATTCTTAAAATAAAAAATAAAAATTTAGAATGTGATACACTTTCTGGTGTTTTGGCAGCATTGTGGATGGACGATGGTCCTGTTACAATGTTATCCACAATACATGAGATTACTGGTAATGAAAATAGAATTAATAAGTTACATCACCAGTCTAGAATAACTAGTAGAAATGGTGCAAAAGTAGGAAGTATTTTTGGTAATTCAACAAGGAAACTATTGCCTATTCCCAAAATAATTAATGTTTACAATCTTTTTATGGGAGGAGTTGATATCGCAGACCAATTGAAAAGCTATTATTCTACTCAACAGAAAACTAGGAGAACCCGGATGCCAATGTTTTTCTGGCTGTTGGATACTGCAATAATTAATTCTTATTTAATATATAAAACAAGTATAATAATAATAAAATTACACATAAAGATTTTAGATTTTAAATTGGGATTAGAAGTGATCAAAGAGAAATTCACCACAAATCTTTTTTTTCTTCTTCCAGAAAACATTATACTACATCTAAATCAACCATTTCTTTAGCAAGACTGACACCACGAAATTAATTACTTTTGCTGAAAATTGTTATCTTCGGATTTCATTTCTGGTTAATAGGGTTGTCATATGTAATTTGGGGTGTATAATTAATTTACTTAGAGGTATACCCATATTTACTTAATAAAATCTTGAGATGTCTGTATCTGCATTATTCCCGTTAGTATTTTATTAACAATAAATTTACAAAAAATATAAGATAAAAATAGTAAAAATAAATATAATAATCCATTACATTAATAAATAAATACAACACATTAATTATTATACTAATAATATATTGAAAAGTTTCAGTGGTGACTCGATCATTATCATTAAGTTGTGAAAAAGGTTGGATGAAATGTGGAGTTAAGTTAAAAAAAATTTAAATTCGTGATATATATATATACATACATACATACATACATACATACATACATATACATATACATATATGCGTGTTATTAGAGATGATAAAAATAGTCTTTAAAAAATATGATTCATATCCAATTTCTATGTTTAATATTTAATATTAATATTAAACAAAATAATCACTATAAAAAAGTCCAGATCTTAATTTGACATTAATTCTCCATATCAAGAAGTAGAAATAGCACTATAAAATGGATAGATGAATAAGCAAATGAGCGAATAAAACAATTGCAAAATCAAACAATTAATTGATCTTTACCATTATTACAAAATCAAATAACAAGAAAAGAGTGAAAATTGCAACAAAATTATCAACACCACTTTTACAAAATCCGAGAGGCAATCTGTTAGAATCAGGTAATGGTGGTGTATAATCAGGCGAGTCAGGATCCGTCCATTGAACCCCACCATTATTACAAGTCCATACAATACGATATTTATATTTTTGCAAACTCCATGCCATTACTCCGGCTCTGATTGATCCTAACAATAGTATTATTGGATATATTTTAAATATTACTCTACCATTTAAATATGATTTCTAGTTATAAATAAATAAAAGAAATATAAAATATTATTAGTTTGTAAAAAACTAAAAAAAAAAAATCAATAATTATTTACCATTGAGAAACCAATTACTGCTATAATTGCAATGGATGCTTGTGCCATGGCAAATCCGCCATAAATTTGTCCTTCGGGATAATGGAAAAAGAAAAAGTCTACAAAAAAATCAAAACAATTAATTATTACGGAATGTGGAGATATAATTGATTGATTGATTAATTAATAATTTTCACACCTCCATATTTAAATAAAAATATTCCACCGGCAAATTGATACAGCTAAATTTTTAATTAATCAAATCAGATATCATAAAACGAAATCACCAATTAATTAATTGGGCTTCACATACATGTATATATTAATTTGCATGTAAATATGTGTGTGTATGCATATATGCTTTTGAGATTTATTCTCTTATATGACATTTTTATATATTTACCGCTGATATTACGCCTAGAATCATTGCACCGGTCCGTAGAGGAAAAAACAAAAGACAATTATCGCACCACATATTTAAAAAGTGTAGTTTTTTTAATATTATTTTCGTTATGTTTGTTATTATTTAAAATTATTGAAAATTTAATTTCATAAAAATCATTAAACACGTTAAAAAAACTACACTTTTTAAATTAAATAAATTAAATAATTGTCTTTTTAATAAAGAAATAAAAGACTAGATAGAAATTTTTTCATTGAATATATTTTCCATAAATAATAAAAAGGGGTTTATTTATTATCTTCTCTCCTGAATCAATTCTAATAATAGTCCAAGTCATGTGATAATTGGCCTTATTATTATAGTCAGTTCCCCAAAAGTTACTAAAAAATTAAAGAGAACCCAATTTTTAGTAATCCTTTTTAAGAAGTGTAACACGATTGTTTCTAATAATACCAACCAATTCTAAGAAATATGATGGATGTTGAATTTTTAAATGCACCCCACAAATCGTTCATTAACTACATTCACAAATGGATTGTACAAATTTTTTGTTTTCATTAAAATCTGCCGTGTAACAAATATTAATTACTGTAACAATGAAATTCAACTGGCGCACATTAAACTTTAATTAGAGCAATTGAATTTTATCAAAAATCAGCAGATGATGATGTTAATAATGAATCTTTAATGGCTTCAAGTGGTGAAGATAAATTATTGAAAGTTTGACAATTAGAAGTTGATAAATTCGAGGCATATTGTTTAGACAAATACTTTTAGATTATAAATAATTGAATGGAAAATCTAATTGAACTGGATTAAATATGATATGATCTTTTGATATATGATGTTATATATACCCGTGACTAAACGTGTAGTCTCAATTGCATTCAATTTTCAAGGATCACAAATCATTACAGCAGACAAATTTCGAGATGTTTATTAGGTAGTTAAACGCTGGATTAGATAAATTATTATTGTTAGAAGGAGAAATCATGGTTAATTGGTTGTTGTTTTTCAAAAACTTCTTAGAGTTTTTCTTGATTTTTTTTCTTTTGCAAGATACCCAATAAACACATCAAATGATGACCAGAATGCTGTAGACTTATTATTAGGTCATGTTTCAATAGTTACTGATATGGTAAAAACATATGAATAAATTTGTGTTTGAGTGAAAGAGATTTTAACTAGGGATGTGCAGATCAGTACTATACGTATAGTAGTAAATGTAAAATCAACACGTAAAAATTTAATCGAAAATTAAATTTCACAATATACAGATATATTTTAAACTTATAATGACTTTGCCAAAGTGCAATTTGGCAACATTTTAAACATATTGGTAATGCTAATGTTATAAGTAATTACGTTTTGAATGTGAAAACCATTTACGCTTTTGTCAAATGCTACAATCCAAACTAAAAGAAATTATTTTGATACTTAAAATACTAGTATACAGATAAATTACAACGTAATTGAGAAATGCCATTGAAGAAGCTGATGAAACACATGAAAATTTTATTGAAAAATCAAAGTTTTGATTTTTATGATTCAATATAATTAATAATTCAATTAAATATATAAATCAAATCTTTAATATAAAAAGATAAAAAAGTACAAGTTGAATAAATTAAATAAAGATTTAATTGCTGTACTACTACACGTACTATATGCACTATATGCACTATATGCACTATACGTATAGTATCGTGTAGTGTTCAACTATACGCACATTTGCCCATCTCTAATTTTAACACTTAATAATAAATTTGTTATAACAGCTGATCGTGATGAACACATAAGAGTCAGCAGGTTTCCAAAAGGTTATAATATTGAATCACATTGTTTAGGAAGCATATACAATTAAGAAATTGTAATGATGTACTTAATTAGTTGTTTCAAATCAAGGTATTTTTTGCAGATTTTTATCTATTACCTTGGTTAACTGATTTTTTTGTTATCAACAGGTGGTGATTATATTTTGTTGTGGGAATATGTTTCAGGAAGATTGTTACAATCTTTAAACATTAAAATTATTATTGAAATCAAGTAATTGTTGTTGTTGTTGTTGTTATTATTATTCTATGCCTATATGTATGCATAAAAAATTATACAATGTATTAATTTATTATTGATGATTCTTTGACATTTTAATATTTGTAAATTATAGAAAAAAAAAAAAAAACTTCAGAATACAATTTACTGCGACTACAATCACAAGTAGTTCGATCTCAAAACACATCGCTTTGGTTATAGAAAAATTTCCTGGGATAGTAATATTGAATTGGAACGAGATTAATCAATCTATTGGATTTAAAACAATTTTATATTCAAGTATTGATCCACTCGATATTGCATACGATCTTTGAAGGTTCAAATTCATTAAATGATGATGATGATGAATTAATAACTTTATTTATAAGGAATGGGATAATGATCAATATGAAAAAAGTTCTTAATTCAAATTAACAAGTATGGATCTATGCAAGTAAATAAATCAATCATTAATGGAAATAACAATAGCATTATAATTATTCATTAATTAAAAACATGTTGTAAATAGTTGATAAAATTCCAGATTTATATCCAATTGGTCAACTGCAAAAGGAAGAAGAAAATGAAGAAGTTGAAAACGATGAAGAATCACAAAATAACGATAATGCCGTTAATAAATCATTGATATCAAAAACTCAAGAAAAAAAAGCCAAAAGAAATGTTGAGAAAAAGATAATCAAACTGAAATAATAAATATGATTTTTTTTAATAGTTATTTATTATTCACTAAAAAAAAAAAAAAGAATTCATCAGTTTTCTGTTCCAACATTCGTTATTTCATTAATCCTCTGGAACTTCAAAGAGTTCTAATATTATTAATATGAAAAAAAAAAATCATTTATTAGAGTCAGTTTATTTACAAAAAAAATTTTTAAAAGATAAAAAATTTTTTTCTTTCTCAGAAAATATTAATGGTGCAATTATCTTTCAACATTGAGATTCAGACGGTAATTCCAGCTATTGATAAATTGCTTTGTTTCATCATTGAGTAGAAATTTTATTGGTAAAGAAAAAAAAAACTTACTTTGTCGTTTTTTTTAAAAAGAAAAAAAAATTTTTTTTTAATTTAGGTTTAGAAAATCTCGAAATTTTATAAAGTATCACACGGCAAATAAATCCTGGACACCCCCGTCCATATAAATCAATCCACTATATCACAGGGTTGACCAATGGACCCGATCAAACCTCATTTGGACTCAATTGACCTGGTCTATTGCCAACCCTGCCGTACTGCACTCATTTATCGATTATTATATTAAAAAGAAAAATCGATTAAATCGATTAATCAAGAACGTTATAATAAGTCATTTTATTTAAATATATTTATATTTTATAAAAAAAAAACAGTTAAATAATTTATTTGATTGCTTATTTGGCGTTTGATGGAAAGTATTTTTGCACATATTGAATTTCCGCTTCCAAATCCTATATTAATTGTTATTAATGATATTACTATTTTGAAGATACATGTTTACAAAAAATGATAAAAACCCCCTGAAATAAACTAACCCTGCAATATTCGTCTAATGGTAAGTCATTTTTATCATAACCTGTTATTAAAAAAATTTTTTTGTTAATTTTTTGTTTTATCCTAAAAAAAACAAATTAAATAAAAACTTACCAAATGGGTTTTCAATCTCGGATCCTAGTATAGATTCATTTAAATAATAAATAATGTTAAATTATTTTTTATTTTTTAAAGAAAAGCAAGATAAACAAATCCCAACTTACCAATAGCTTCAACACCAAAGAGAATAAAAGCAATCAACATAACAATTGGAATTGTAAGCCAAAGAAGTGTTTCAACAAGAGTGAATGGAAGAACCCAAACATAAATGGTTACAGCTTGTTTCCTAATAAAATAAGAGAGAACGAGAAGAAAAGCTTCCTTAATATTTTCAACAACAACAAATCATAATAATATATTATCAATCCTCTATTATTACTACTAATACTTACAAGTGAATTCTATAAGCAAATGGAATTGGGGTGTTGCTAATTCTTTCTAAATTACCAAAAAGATCAACTAAAGTATTTAAAGAACCAGATGCAGCACCATATGTGGACCCACTAATTTTTTTTTCTTTATTATCATCAAGAACTTGTCTATCGTAATATGCATCCAAATAAAAAACTATTTCCAAGGGTAAACTCATGCTTGCATCCGGGTCACGATCATTAACTCTATTGTATATAATTGTTTCATTTGGTGGCAAGTCACGACGATTAGGATCTTCTTCACCTCCAGCTCCTAAATCTGTATTTTCTTGTCCTGCATTTCCATCAAATATTGTCTTTTGAAATTTTACAGGAAGGAGATCTTCCAAATCAGACCATTCTGTACCAAATTCCAATCTCAAATGATGTTTGACTGCTACAGGAAATGCTAATAACATCTTAATAGTAGCAATTTTTTCATTATGATCATGAGGATTTTGAATTTCTTTAACACCAGTCCAAGTAAGACGAGAAACATTACGAACTTGATTACTAATTAAAATTCAAAAGATTTCATTATCGTCATCATCATCATCATAATCATTATTATTATTATAGAATAATAATAAAAAATTAAATGAAAAATACCATAAACTACCAAAAAGTCTTCTTCCTTCATAATATCTGTCGTAAGCATTGTTTGTACGAAAACCTAATAAAAGACCAACGACAACAGCAATAGATCCAACTAAAGCAATTAAATTTTATCATTATTTAGTAAATTAATGAAAAATTAAATAATAATAGTAATAGTATTTGATAACTTATAATTCTCGTACTTATGTCATTAGATAACGTGATATTTTTTTTATCAAAAATAATATACAAAACAGTTACGACAGTAGAAATAATTGTTGAAAAGAAAACAATTGGTATAATTGCAACAATAACCTATAGCATTAATAAATAATTAGTTGGTTAATTATCAATTAATTAATAAATACAATTAATAAATAGTGATAATGGAATACTTACAGATCCTCTCACACTAAAAATGTCAGGACTCCCCCACCCTCGGCTGTTAGCTATTGATTTTAAAAATGAATTATTTTCGGTGGGCCTTTTCATATGAGGATCAATAGGCATCTTTGATTATTATTAACAATTTGATATTGATATAATGAAAGATAATGTCTCGCAAAATTATTTATTATTTATTATTTTTTATTTTTATTTATTATTTTTTTATTATGTTAAAAACTCAAGTTGATCGATGCAGAAAAGGCAATTCCTGTTAACCATTTTTTAGATATCTACTATTATTGATTATTATCTAATCTATCTCTATTGATTGCTATCTCTATCCTATGAAATTTGATTCTTGTTAAACCAAATTATAAACAATAAAACCATTTTTTCTCATTTAATAAATAAAAAAACAGAAAACTTTGATGTATTTTTATTATTAGCAATAAATTTAAAAACAATGCTCGTAGTTTTTTTTTACATTAGTTAAAAAAAAATCAGAGCATTTGATGTAACTTACTATGGAAACATCTATTTTCATTTTGTGCAAAGCAAAGCAAATTTTTACAATTATCGTCGGCGGTATTACATGATAATAATCTTACATATTTACAACATATTCAATTGCTCAGAATTGGCAAACTTGTCTTAACGAGAACAGCTCCTACTACTATAACTTCGATTATAAACGAGCGAGAAAAATATTTATTCGGAATTCACATTTATGCTATAAATATTTTTGCATGATAACAATCTTTAGGTTTTCAAACTAGCAGTACACCAAAAATTGACAACTTGCATTCGAAAAATTTTTAGATAATTAAAAAAAGTATTTTATTTTTACCAAGCTTTTGAAGATCCAAAAAAAAACATTTTTGCAAAATAGATAATCGAGTTCATTTCTTCAGCACTGTGTAAATATAACTACTAAAGCAATCAATATAAATATTCATTTTTTTTTAGAGACCAAAATTATATTTTTTAGAAATTTATATTTTGGGGATTGTGTAAGTAAGACATTAACACAATCCCAAGAATCCCAACACTGGATGGTAAAATAACAAGATTTTCTTTAGTATTATTAACAATAACAGATGTTCGAATCAATGATACCAGCAATTATTTATTATTCAAGCAAACAAGAAAGTTCAAGATATTAGTTTCAAACTATTAGCGCAGAATTATTAAGCTTGATTTTCGATTATTTGTGAACAATTAGTTGATTAGTTGAATATAGTTGTGTTGCGAAAATAATTCTGTAAATTTGTTTTTCAAGAAAGTAACTAAAATCCAATGTCACATTATAAAAATTATATCAGAGGTCAAGAGATTTTAAATTATTACATGTAAGAATTTAAAGCAATATTATTTAGAAAATATGGATACATATCCATAATCCTCAGAATTTAAGCCACGAATTGATATATTTTTTTGTATGGGGGTTTTCTATATAGGAAAAACTGGACACGAGACCTCCCTAGTCAAAATTGGTTTTTTACATAATATTTATCCCTATCACGAGAATGATAATTGGTACACCACATTTGAACAAGTTAACAAAAATTCGGATTGATCTACACACCCTATTTTAGGTTACACGAAATTTTAAATTTTTAACATGGATGCTGAAGAAATTTTTGAGATTATTGGAATTTGGAATGATTCACTTGCAAAAAAAAACAACAGGATGAATCAATTAGAAAAGAGTATGATAAAATGGTCAAAATAAAATTTGATCCTTCAACAATTACTGTAGTAATTCATCCAAATGCAGTTTATACTAACAGATTATTAAAATTTACAAACCTTCTCCAACCTATGAATTCCAATAAAGTAACAATTATTGGTAATAATAATGGTAATAATATTCAATCATTGATTATTTTCATTTTTATTAATCTTTAAAATTAACAATATTTATTAATATTCACTTTTGTGATAAATATCTTGTAAATTCTAAACAAATTGAATTAGCTATATAGATGGATTACTCAAATAATTGATTATTTATTTTTATTTATCTGGCTACTATAGTTGTGATATTAAATATTTTGAGAAATGAAATTATATTTAATAATAATATTATAAAGGTAATAACTTCATATATATGGTCATTACACGTCAGTATTTTTTTCCTCTGCATATCTTTTAAATTTATGTAAAGTTGTTCTTCTTCTATGATTAAGATTAATAACAAGGAAAATAAAAGTAAATTACGCTAAACTTTGACACCTAGGTGACTCATCACATTTCTAAAACTTATTTGGCACATAAAACAAGTGCAACAGAAAATCAAATGGAAAAAAAAATAGAACTTGAATTGAAGAAATAATCACCATCACTTAAAAGACCAAATTTCTTGAAGATTTTTATTTGATCAAAAATATTGTTGTTGATAGAGATTTATACATGGTATGGTAATTAGCTAATTACCGTAAATACGTAATTCGTAATTGACGTAATTAATTACCACTTTCACTCTTTAAAAACGTAATTGCGTAATTAATTACGGGCGATGAAATTAATTACGTGCGACGAATTAATTACTATGCAAATCATTGTTAACACTATACATGGATGGTAATTGCCTAATTGCCATAAGTACATAATACGTAATTATCGTAATTAATTACCATTTTCCTTTTTAAAAACATAATTATGTATTGCGGACGACGAAATTAATTATGAATAACAACGAATTAATTATTTGAAATATCATAATACCAGTCACTCCCGTTATAACAACACTCTTCGTACAAGCAAAAAATATCAGTATGACGAGAATGTCATTATAACGGGAGTTCATATAGAAGTCACATGAGAATCATTAACATGTGATTTTGTAATTTTATTTTTATTATATATTTTTATTATTTCATTCATGTTTTATACAATTCTATCAGGAAATTTAAAATTTGCGCCGGGTCAAAATTGACAGCATTATACAGAAGTGTTATCAGAATTTTCCATAATACTGGTCAATTTTGATCCTGGCGTAAGTTTTATTTCCTTATGTTTTTTTCAGAAATGATTAGAATGATTTTCCCATTATACTGACATGTCGTTGTAACAGAATAAATTCTATAATTCTAAAAAAAAGTTGACAAATTTATGTCATTATACTAGTATAACGAGATAAATAATAGGTGTCATTTAATTTTGTCATTCGTAATTGATTTCGTCGCCCGTAATTAATTTCGTAATTACATTACGTATTATGTTTTTGGCAAAATAATTACCATCCCATGTATAACCACAAGGATAACAACCAAATGTTTATTTATAAATCAATCGGCTGAATCTCAAAGATCATTTTCGTATTAGGAAGTGATATCCGTTTGAAGGATAATATAATAATATTAATATTAATATGTAGTTAAACTTCAAGGTATGCAATGCGTTGAAAATTGTGAATAAAAAATATTTCGAACAAACCAGTTTGGCAAACTTTGAATATATTTATTGGTAAAACTTGATGTTTTCTAGCTGCTTATGTTTATTGGCTTGAGAGTGTCATAGTGACGACGATGATAAAGGTAATGACAATTCAAAAGGAAATGGTGTCATTGTTGATGATGATGGATACTTGCCTTTACCTCAAGGAAATAGCCAAACTAGTATCGATAATACCAACATTAACTCTAATGCCAATGATATTATTGTTGAAGATATTAATGTTCCTACTAAAGAATTGAAAGGTTGGAAAATATTTTTTATTTTGGTTTCCAACAATGTGTGATATTTGTGGTGCTAAAGTATGTAACTATTACTATCATTATTATATTATCAATCATATGCGCTGATTTCGTTTGAACCCCAAAATCCAGTACGGTATGATCATAACGTTATGAATACTTTATACTAGCAAAAACCCATTGGTTTTGAGGTGGGGTCATTGGTTTGACGGGTTGATGGATAGTAAATTAGTTTTTTTAGCGGAGCAAATATGGTGAAATATAAAATTTGATTATTGTTTATTATTTTACAGAAATTGATGATAAATTGATTAAATTGATAGATTATCAAAATCTAAATTATTTAATTTTTTGTTTTTTAAAATAATAAATATGAAAGTCCTTTAACATCTTGATATGCTTCACCAGAAATGGCGGCGCTCTTTTCTCCAGTTAATCGTTATTACATTTGGGGAAAGCTTTGGTTGAAATTAGATATAGCTGAAAAAGAGTTGTGAATACCTGGCATTGCTGAAGATGCCATTCAAGAAGAACACTTGGTAAAATACTATTCTATTGTTATTATCATTTCTTTTATAAAAATACTAGTTAAATATTTTTTTTTAAAAAAGACTTTAACTGAAGAAGATTTTAAAGCAGCAGCCATAGAAGAGAAAAAACGTCGTCATGATGTTATGGCACATGTTCATACATTTGGTTTAGTTGCACCAAAAGCAGCTGGAGTGATTCATTTGGGAGCAACAAGTTGCTATGTAACAGATAATGGAGATTTGATTATTTTACGTAATGGGTTAGAATTGTTGATAAATAAGTTAGTTGTGGTGATTGATCGTTTGAGTAGATTTGCTGATACCTATAAAGGTTTACCAACTTTGGGTTTTACTCATTTTCAACCAGCTCAATTAACCACTGTTGGTAAAAGAACTACACTTTGGCTTCAGGTTGAACAACGTTTTTAAAAAAAAAAAATAAGATATATATTATGTGTGGATAGTTAATGAAATTTTATTAATATTGATAAGGTTATTTAGGAATTACTTTGGGATTTAAGGAATTTTGAACGTGCGAAAAATGATATTGCATTTCGTGGTGTTAAAGGTACTACAGGAACACAAGCATCATTTTTAGCATTATGTGAAGGTGACCATGACAAGGCAAGAAGAATGAGGGTGAGAAGGATCAAATAGGTAGTTCTGCTATGGCATATAAAAGAAATCCTATGCGATGTGAAAGGGTTTGTAGTCTGGCTAGACATCTGATGACACTTAATAACAATGCCTTGATGACCAATAGTGTACAATGGTTAGAAAGAACTTTAGATGATAGGTTTGTTTTTATTATTGTTATATATAACATTCAAAGAGACTAATTTATAATTAAAATTAAAAAAAAAATTATATATATATATATATATATATATATACAAAAATATGTGTGTGTTTGTAGTGCCAATCGACGAATTTCGCTTCCTGAGGCATTTATTACAACAGACATAATCCTAACATTATTGCAGAATATATCGGAAGGACTTGTAGTCTATCCTAAAGTTATAGAACGTCATATAGCACAAGAATTGCCTTTTATGGCAACAGAGAATATTATAATGGCCATGATGAAAAAAAAAAGAGGATCGTCAGACATGTCACGAAGAGATTAGAGTCTTAAGTCATCAAGCTGCAAAAAAAGTCAAGGACGATGGTGAAGAAAATGATTTAATTGAGAGAATTAAAAAGACTGAATATTTTAAACCAATTTGGGATGAGGTAATATTCATAAAAATTTTTTTTGTTTGCTCTCTCCCTTTAAGATGGGAGATAATCTATTTAATATACATATATATTTATTTATACAATCAGCTTGAATCATTGCTGGATTCAAAAACATTTATTGGGCGTGCACCACAACAAGTTGATAAAATTTTAAAAGAATATGTACAGCCATCTCTTAAACCTTATTTGGAAATTTTAACTAATGCCAAACAAGCAATTTTAAATGTTTAAAAAACCATCAAAATAAAAAATTATTAAAAAATTTAAAATTGTGTATACTTTATATATGTACGTGCATGTGTGTACATTTTTTTTTACAAAATAAACAAATATTAAAACAATTGTATTAATTGTATTTCTAATTTTATTACTCATTTTTCACCATGTTGTGTCTATCAACATGCGATTTTGCAACTTTTCCTAATAATTTAACTTGATTGGCAACATCTCTAAGTGCGCCAAGGACTAATCTATTACCTTTAACAAAACCATATAGATGATATTGGAGGTTGGCTTCTTGACAAAATTGCATCACCAATGGTTGACATTTTCTAAGATTGTGTCTTGGTATTCTTGGAAAAAGATGGTGTACAGCTTGGAATTGCAAGCCACCATGAAACCAATCCATCCACCAAGGACAATCAACATCCATAGTTGTGCGTAACATTTTTCTTGAGAATGATTCATTGGCACCAAAATCTTTTGTGCACATACCAAAATGTGATAATGTGATTTGTACATGCAACAACATTGTTACACTATGAGATATTAAGATGTAGATTATTCCTATATAAATATTTGGTAGAAAAGATAACATGAATAGGTACCATGACCAGAATGTTATCATGCCACATATTTCCAAATTTCTAAATAGAACATTTTCTTCATTTATCAGGAAATTGACTGACAGGAAATAAAGATTAAATCTACCAAAACACAAGATTAGGTAATAGGTAAAATGTTGATAAGAGATCAGAAGTTTTGCTATTGGATCAAATTCCATTTTCCTTTTATAAAAAGTTGAATATAAACCTCCAAATAGTTTTGTTGTAACAGCAAAAAATGGTATATGTTGAATGTCAGGATCGTGTTCAGGATGATTTGTTACAATATGATGAACATAATGACTTCTTTTCCACCATCCAATACTCAAACCACCACAAAATGATGAAATGAACACGCCGATCAGATTATCAATAACTAGGTTGTGTGTTATACCACTATGTCCTGCATCATGTGCTGTGAATGCAAGTTGGTGCCAAAATGCTCCAAGGAAGATTGCACTTAATATATAGTAG